CGCACAGTGATGGAGTGAGATGGGGGCGGGATGGAGGTTGCCCGGTGGTCGAGAGAGATCGCGTAGTGATGGAGTGAGATGGAGAGTGATCACTCGGCAATGGAGGGAGATCGTGCGGCGATGGAGAGAGAAACCGCGCAGCGCTGCATTGGGATAACATTGGCCAGGGCTTCGATAGCGATGGCCAACTCTGCGGTGGAGAGCGATGGCGCACCGGTGGAGAGCGATGGCGCAGCGATGGAACGCGTTACAATGCAGCGATAGCGATGGCAGCGATGGAACAGCGATAGCGATGGCGCACCGATGGAGAGCGATAGCGCAGCGATGGAACAACGATAGCGATGGCGCACCAGTGGAGAGTGATGGCGCAACGAAGGAACAATGATAGCGATGGCAGAGATAGCGATAGCGATGGCAGCGACAACGATGGCGCACCGATTGAGAGATGGCGCAAAATGGAACCAGCGTTGCGATGGCAGCGATAACGATGGCGCAACGATGGAACCAGCGTTGCAATGGTAGCGATAACGATGACGCAGCGATGGAACCAGCGTTGCGATGGCAGTTATGGAACCAGTGTTGCGATGGCGCAGCGATGACCAGCGCTGCGATGAGAGCGATGACAATTGTCAGCGCTGCGATGGTCAGGCGAGCGCGACGACTGCGATGGGGGATATAGCTTTGCGTCGCGATGGCGATGAGCTAAGCGCATCGATGGCGATGGTGCATGGCGAGCGTTGGTGATGGCGATGAGTTAAGCGCATCGATGGCGATGGTTCATGGCTAAGCGCATCGATATCCAACGCCGTTGACATTGCAAAATGTCTGAATGACAGCGACACCGGAACTTATAGATTTTTGGTGTTTTTGACCTCGGCGCACAACGAATCGCCGCGCCTTGGCGGAAAATAAACCGTCGCCTGGCCTCGGCGCGCAACGAACCGCCTCAGCGCACAACGAATCGCCGCACCTTATAGATTCTTGCGCCTGACCTCGTGCGTCGGATCATGCCGATCGACGGTCCAGATTTGAACTGCGAAAATGATATTGCCTGCCCCTTGTTTTCGGGAACTGTCACATCATTGCACGCTGGAGTTGACGGAGATTTTGGGGCTTGTGGCATATAAGTGGCTCCGTTCATCGGCGCGGTTGAAAATTGTTTATCGACGGCTGACAATTTCCGGTACCCCTTACCGTTTATAGGCCTGGCGTTTTATGAGCCCAGGGGTGCGATATGCGAATCTATTCGGGCCCACCTTGATGGCGTTTTATGGGCCCAGGGGTGCGATATGCGAATCGATTCGGCCCCACCTTGATCCGGACGCGAGGCCTGCTGCAGCAAAGTATAAAAGGCGTTGCAACTCTCGAGTTATCCCTTTTGTTGTCGCTCCACAAATCAAGTCGCGCTATCGCTTCCGCGCGCGTTCTGATATTTGGTCTTCAGCCCCCCCCACCTTCCGCCATAACCCGCTCACTCTTCGCTCTTCGCTCCGTCCGCAGTTGCCACATTGTGTTCAGTTCGCTCTTTGCTCTTCGCTCTTTGCTCTTCGCTCTTTTCTCTTCCTAGCTCGATATCCCTCCACCAAAGCTGGTTCGGTGGTCGCACATCCATATCCGTCCGACGTTGGTCGCTCGCTCAACGCACAACGAAGGTAAAATTATATAACTTGAGTTGTCCTATTTTGTGTCCGATGTCCGAACAGATTCCCAGATGCCCTGTCTCTACCTACAGGATATAACGCCGCAGCCGCGTTCTATTGAACCCCGAATCAATTCCCGATTTTGTTGTTTCGCCAGTGGACGTGTTCTGATGTCTTTTCTCCACCCTCCACCTCCGTCCGCCATAGCCGATCCGCGTTCCGCAGCTCGATTACCTTTCGCCATAGCCACGATAACGTTTGTATAAAGCTTCTCGATCCCCCTCGCAACTTGTAGTCGTCACTGCGCATGGCGAACCCCGAATCAATACCTAGTTTCTACACTGAACACCGAATCAATTCCCGATTTTCGCTCACCTGTCCCTTGTGAGGTCACCGACCTGTTATATATATATAGCCCCTCGTTTGTTGTCCTCTTCTCTCTCTCTGCCTACGGTTTACCGGGCAGTTCTGTTTGTGACGATATAGATATATATATATATATATATAGATACATATATATAGAGAGAGAGATATATATTGCTACATTGAACACCGAATCAATTCTCGATTTTCGCTCACCTGTCCCTTGTGAGGTCGCCGACCTGATATCTATCTATATATATATAGATATAGATACATATATATATATATATATAAATAGATATTGCGAGTCAGTTCCCAGTTTGCGACGTACAATGTTTGAGGACTGACAACTGCAAGTTAATTCGCAGCTTTTGCAAGGTTAGACACATATTTCATTAAAGGCAGTTCTTTATTTCCACAAATGCGAGTCAGTTCGCACTTTTTGAGCAACACTGCTGGAGGAGTTGATAACCCATCCCGTGCGGCTTTCAGGTCTTCAGTTCCACAATTCCGAGTTAGTTCGTACTTTCCCCTTGTACTTCGGGTGGCAATTGTTGTCCTGTCAGCAGAACTGCGAGTT